TATCACACTGTCTATTCTATTAATAAATGTTCATAACAGTTGGTTCTTCTGACCTAGAGAAATAATATTACACAGCTAACTAACAAAAAAAAAAAGATCTCCTTATTAAATCATTACTTATATAATTCAAATTGGTGCTACCGTTTTTGGGGGAAAAAAATAAAGGTTCAACAAAACAAACCAGTTTCACAAAATTAAAGACTGAAATCCCACAGAAGTACATACTGTACAGTTTTCTTCACAAATTTGTACCAATAACATTAAGACACAAAAATACCTGACTGGCTTACCTGCATGGGTTCAGAAGCAAGGCTTTTCCTCTGTTCAGCTGATTTCTCTATTGCTTCACTAAGAGATTTAGCATACTGTACCATAGCTTTCAACTGGGAATCAGTCAAAACCCACAGTAAATCATCCAATATTAAAATTAGTTTGGATGCCACCACATTGCAATCTTTTAACTGTCAGAGGAAAAAAAGTGAATTTTAAATATTGCTAACTATATCAGCTTTCAGGATATATGTTTTTTATAAGGCTATGGGATTACAGTGAAGGAATTTTAAGCAGAATGAAAAATAAGACTTTAATTTACAAACTGGAATCTTTGTTCAAGTATTTCTATACTTTCAACATAGGGCATGAGTCCTTTAATAAACAATAAATAAAGGCCATAGGCAACCATGAATTTTAAGCATTATCATTATCATTATCATTATTATTATTAATTCTGCCCAACTCCCAACAACTCTGGGTGGTTCACAAGTATTCTCTTTAAGAATTAGTTTCTCTGTCTATTTTGGTTAGAAATTTCAGAAAAAATGTTTAATTTAGAGATAGTGTTCCTTATGTACCTCTCCTTTACAATCAATTAACAAAATTAAGCATGCATATAGGAATTGTACTAAACAAACACAAAATAAGAAAAATATAAAATTTAGGCTGTCATAATCTGGTATAAATGATATTATAGCCTTGTCCAACAGATGTCAAATGATCAAAGCATGGATGATAAACTAAGAACTGGGCTTGTCCCCAACTTCTTTGTAGAAGGAACTGCCTTCTTGTACTGGAAGAATTTAAAAAAAAAAATAAGGTCACCTTTTGAGCAAGCCAACTAAGCACACCCATACACAGGATTCAGAAATTCTGATTTGTCTCAGTGACCAACTGAGCTTGTCTCTTCCATTGCCTCATAATATTATGCATGTTGTGCTTTCTCTGTGGCAATGCCTGCTTTATAGAACAGCACCCTCCCCCAGAGATCCAGGTAGCTCCAACCCTATTAGCCTTTTGCAAGGTTCTGAAGACTGTTTCCTTAGGTTTCAGGCCAGGTTAAACAAACTCTGTTGTGGACAGGATTTTAGGATTGGAACGTATCATTTACCTTGGACATCCTTGGGCATTATATATCACTTCTATGAGATGGGTGGCCATATAAACTATCTAAATAAATAAATAAATTCCGTGGTGCTTCAGGCAAGAGGCTTGTTGGGGGAAGCTCAGAAATCCAACCATGGTATCTGGATAGGGGGATGGGCCTACCGGAAACACCAGTTAAGCATGAGGAAGTAGTTAAAAAGGCCAATGTAATTGTATGCTATATTAACAGAAGCACTGCATACAGATCACAGGAAGTAACAGTTGCACTGTACTCTGCACTAGACAGACTGCAGTTGGAGTACTTTATCCAATTCTGCACATGTATCTTAAAAGAGAAAAGCTAGAGAAGGTTTCAGAGAAGAGTTACCATAATGATATGGGAACTGGAAATCTGCCAGGGAATGTTCAGTGGATTTCTACATTAAGCAGAAATATGACTCTTAAGATCCCTTCCAACTACTACATTCTATTACTCTGGGACCTCTGTTAATACAATAATTATACTATACATTTTAAATTACCTTTTCTATGTAAATTTTTTATTTTACTACATAGCATTTTATCCATTGCCATTAAAATTCTCATAAATCAAATTAACATTTTTTAAAATTTATTCACTGATTATTCAACTCAGTTTGAGCATTACCCTTCTTTTAAGTATGACTCTAATTTTGGATTGGTTAGTAATCAGACGAACTGGAGCACTCATGATTTCATGCTGAGAGCTTTGGATTGCATCTGCTTCTATTCTGATCATCTGCCAGTTGATTTCTTTAAATGTCAATACCTATAATAAAACATACACAAATTAATTATACATAAGTGCAGAGCGTGTGTGCATGTGTGTGCATGTGTGTATGAAGCAGGCATAGTTGCTTCTCTTTTTGATTCCAAGGGACTACCAAACAGAACTCAGCTTAAATTTGTTAACCTTCATTCTTTAAGACTAAAAACTCAAATTTGTTATTTATAACTTAAAAAAAAGAAACAAGTCCTAAATCAAGACAACAAAGAGCAAGCTTCAAGAATGTAATGCTTAGGTCTGTGTATTTGACTGTTGGTTTTATTTTGTAACATTTTAATGGTTATTATTTTTCTTTTATGTTGTGGGTTGTCAGGAGCCTGTGTATGATTGAGGCAGGGTATAAATGTGATGTGTGTGTGTGTATTCAGGCTTTTTATTTGAAACTGTGTGTCATCTTTGGAACATCAATCATTCACATATATGCACAAGAAAGGAAGAGAAAGTAATCACCTACATCATCTTTTTCTACTGAGGCCTTATCTAAGTGAAATATGTTTGTAATCTTTGAAATCAAATGAACACAGGTGCAATAAGAAACCATTGGTTCAAGAATATAATCTTTCTACCGTAATAGCAGTGCCTGGGAAATCTTGGTATTTCCGATTGTTATATTAAACCTATAGTAAAGATTTCAAAATGAACATGCCTTTAATAGAAATGGTTTCATAAGAATATAAGAATACCAGGATAAGGTCAAGGGCCATCTTAATCTAACATTATGTTTTTCACAATGATCAGCAAGATGCCTCTGGGGTGCTCTGAAGCAGGAGATGGAGACATCTCTTTCTCTCTTACCATAATGCTCTTGTAGCTAGAGGTGTGCTACCCCCCAACTAGAGGTAACATTCAACAGTCTTGAAAGCTCTTGACAGACCTGTCCAATCACCTTTTAAAGCCATCTTAGTTAGTTATTATCATATATTGTGGTAATGAATTTCACTAGCTAATTATGTGCCAAGTGAAGAAGTATTTCCTTTAATCTGTCATAAATCTCCTTCCAATCAATTTCATTAGCTAATCCTAACCTCTTGTCTTAAGGTTTTTGGAGAGGACAAAAAACTTATTTCTGTCCACTTTCTCTTTTCTATGAATGGTTTTATATACTTCAATCATATTGCACTAAGCTCCAGAGTCCCAAGGAAAGTATCTGAATTTTCCTGATCATTTTAGTTGCACTCCTCTGTACTTTTTCAACTCTATTATATCCTTTCCTGAGTGTGATGACCATAATTATTACAAGGCTTTCCAGATGCAGATGTACCAAAGGGTTTGTATAAAACCATGATATTATTGGCAGTTTTACTTTCAATCTTTTTCACAAAGATTCCTAACATGTCTTTTGCCTTTTCACAGTTGCCATACAGCATCTTCACTAAATTATCCACTACAACCCCAAATCTTGTTCTTGGTTAGTTTCAGACAATTCTGACCCCATCAATGTGTATGGCGGGGTGTGTGTGTGCCAATATACATCACTTTATGCTTACTGAAGGTGAACTGCATTTGCCATTTGGTTACTCATTCATCCAGTTTAAAGAAATTGTTCCAGAGCTCTTCATAATCACTTTTAATTTCATTAGCCTGAATAATTTAATATAATCTGCAAACATCAAACTCACTGTTTATCCCTAAGTCAAAATAAGGTAAATGAGAACTTAACTAATTTAAATAAATTCAACTCTCCAGTGTGAGGTGGATTACACCCTAGTGCTGAAGGAACTAGCTAACAGCCCTTCAAATAGAACAGGTCATGAAACAGGCACACGAGGGATTGCAGGAAAGGTCTTTATTATAGTAAGGTAGAATAATAGAATCCTTAAAACCTGTCCAAGTTTCTCTCTTTGCCATCTTATATTAAACAAAATAAAGGCGGGTTTGAGTTTCTTTCTCAGGCTTTCCTCTTTCTCTGGCCTGTGTAATCTTCTCTGAAAGTCTCCCCCCGGCCCCAAACAGCTTGCTCATTTCTTCCCTATCGTCAAGGTCAGCTCTATATTCCTTCACACTAGTGGAAGGGATCACAGGACCACTCTCATTAATTTTTGAGAACTCCTATAGAACTGGTGAGGTCCCAGAAAATTGGAAGAAAGCAAATGTCATCACTAAATGTGAAGGAGGAAGATCCAGGAAACTACAGATCTGTCAGTTTGATACCTATAGTAGATAAGATTCTTGAACAACTTATTGAGCAGACTATTCGTGAACAGGTATGCTGCAATTAGGAGGAACCAGCATGCGTTTGTCACAAATAAATCATGCCAGATTAACCATACCTCCTCTGACAGAATTCCTAGCTTAGCAGATCATGGGAATGACAGATTTAACATACCCAGACCTCAGCAAAGCCTTAAATGTAATCCTTCAGCATTTTCTCCTTAATAAATGGTAAAATATGGGCTAGATTATACTATTGTTAGATGGACTGCACCCAAAGAGTGTTCATTATTGGCTTCATCTGAGCTTGGAGTGAAGTACTGAATGAACTGTGCAGAACACAGAGTCCAGGTTATAGGAGAGCTCACAGATCACCAAGAACTCCACAGATCATGTTTATTCTACTCTGTCCTGATCAGAACTTATCTGGAATACTGTGTCCAGTTCTGGACACCACAATTCAAAAAGGAAAATGCCATACTCAAGCACATTCAGAAGAGGGATACCAAGAAGGGCTCTGGAAACCAAGCCCTATGAAAATGATTCAAGGATCCGGGTATATTTAACTTACAGAAAATATGACTGAGGGAAATATAGGAAAACAGCAGTCTTCAATATCTGAAGGGCTGACAAAAAACAGGGAGTAGGCTGATTTGCTATTGCCCCAGAGAACAGGACCAAAATCAGTGTGTAAAACCTGCAAGAAAATAGGTTCAGGCTAGACACCAGGAGGAATTTGACTGTATGAGTTGTCAGCCAGTGAAACCGACTGCCAAATGAAGTAGTGAATTCTTTTCACTAGAAGCCTTCAGACAGAGACTGAATGGTCATCTTTTAGAGATGTTCTAGCATATCCTGCATTGAGCAGTAGGTGGGATCAGATGACCTCTAAGGTGCCTACCAATTTTTTAAATCTATAATTCTATAATTATAAGACCAAATATCTGAAAATTGCAATTCCAGATGCTTAAACATCATTATCTTCAATAAAATAACTTATGTCAGGATTTAAATGTATATACAAGCCACACTGATATGTGGGTTTCCAGGGTGGCAACAAAAGTAACAGTGTGCTGCTGACACAGTCCTTGATACCTATTAAAACACTTGACCCATCCTTTTTTAGATCATTTTATTAAAAGCAGAAATCGGAAGTTGCAAAGCAAACCACTAGCCTCCAGTATAACCTGGATTTCCAGCAGTACCTCTGCGACCCACATATATACCAGAGAATCTTAGAAAATAAAATGGTGGATTCTGATAAATCAGGGTAACCAATGTTTGAGGGTTCAGGCAACTCAGCTGCCTCAACTTCTGGAAGCCTGGAATGTGCTTATTTGCTTAACTGTTTTTATAATTCATTCCAGTTAAAAGACTGGGCATGTACCTCAACAAAAATGGCAACAAGAAACCATGCACATCCAAATGGACACTGCTCACAATCAGGGCTAAAATGACACAGCAATGTCATTGGAAGTAGAATGGCTCAAATTTTTCACCCAATTTTTTTAAAATATGGGAAAGTTAAGGATGAGGAAATAGGAGTGCGAAACCTTCCAGGAATAGACTGTTCCCATTTCCTTCTTTAAAACCATTCAGAACCTGAAAATGCCCCCCCCCTTTTTTTTTGGCTTTGATTTGTTTGTTTTTTGCATTTGGGCATATGATCAAAGCTTCATGGGGAGAACTGCATTTGGTTTCTGATGAATGATCCTACCACCAGAATGCCTTTCTGGGAGTAACCCTAATATGCTCACAAAATCCAAATATGCCCACTGACCCCAAAAGTTTAGGCTCATGAATTTACTGTAATAGGTTTGTTCCTCACATTTACTACTTTCACTGGAATACCAACAGATTTTTCCCATTTGTCACACATGGAGGATATTACATGCATAGACATTTAGATGCTCTGTAGTCCTGATTTGTATGACACAGAGATTCCCTTTACAAGTTTAGTTTCTTATATACTGGCTAGGGTCATTAAAGGCTTTCACAGGCATAGTTTCACAAGCAAAATATTTCATCAGCCAAGAAATGATGTTTCTCCCTTGATTAGGAATTTGAACAGCATGATAATTATACTGTAACCACGTGAGAAGTTTTCCCACAAACTGCAAATGGCATGAGGTAACTACTCAATTGGTAGCAAGTGTATGATTCAGAGCTGTGCACATATATAAATAGTAGCAAGTGACTTAAGATGACTAGCCACTACAGAATAATTTTAATATTAAAATAAAATTAATAACCATATAAATGCTGACTAATCTTGTCTAGGCTCACAATCTAAGCAGGGTTCCATGGGAGGCCACCCGGAATATCAGGGCTATAGGCTAAATGGCAAATCATTAAAAAAAATCCCAAAAGATAACTGTGGTAAAATAAGTCTGTACAGCTGCTAAGAAAACTACAAAGATTTTACTTAAATGCTAGTATATGGATAATGCTAAATAAAGAAAGTGGATTCTGCTACAATTATTTTTCTTTGCGTGAAATAGATATGTGAAAAATAAATGCTGGTTGTACAAGAGGGGGAAGAAGAAAAATAAAAGTTACCTCTCCACGCTGAGATTCTTGTAATCGAGTAAATCTTAGATCATCGTGTTCCCACTTTGCATTTACACTATATATTCTCAACTGAGAAAGTTCAAATGAAGCATTGAAAGCTTTTGCTCCAATTCGGATTATAATGGAGTTTACAGAAACAGATATGCCTTCTACAACTTTCTCAGCGAAACCATATTCACTGGCAAAATAAAATGCAGGGATTTAAATTAGAACTTTTGTGTATATGAATGAAACATTTAGCAGCTGGTCAAAATGAAGACAATATATGTACTGGTGTAGAAAAGAGGCCAAATCTTCACAAAATCCAGAACAGATTAAAGATTGCTAAAGCAGAGTAAAATCTAGAAGCAGAGGAAGGCACACATACACCCCATTTTGAAGTACCATATGTGACAATGTGGCAAACAAGCCAAATGTGTCAAGGGAGAAACTGGGTATTCAGGACGTAAAGTATTATACTACTTCCTGGAACCAATTACTATAATACTGTACCACTCAAAGAAATTCAATACTAAAATAGTGAATTGCTTAGAAAAAGCAGATATGCTAGTTGGTACAACACCTAAAAAAGCCATAAAGTATCTAACTTGCTTTTTATTAATATTATATTCACAATCCTAATTCAAAACTGTGATGCAAAAAGCCTATTTGCATATATGTATAAACTTGAGTATGCAGAATAAGACTGTAGTTTCCTCCTACAAATACCATTACAAATTATTTGGCATTTTCTTGCGTTCCATGAATATTATGCTAGAGCAGTATTATGCTAGGCTTTTCATTGCTTACTGTACAAAGGCAGTTTCATACTTTATACATGTGATTTCCTGGATCAATAAGACTATATATTGTAGAGTAACCCATGAGTGTAAATAACATAGGATGTAAGCACTGCCACAGTTGGTGGCAGACATTTTACATTGATCAAAGTAATCTGGAATATAGATACAGAGATAAAAGCACAGCATGTATGAGATGGAAAGGACCTTAAAGTTCAACCCCTTGCTCAGTTCAGCAATCCTACAGAGCAGTGTTTCCCAACCTTAACAATCTCTAGATGTGTGGATTTCAAATATCAGAATTCTAAATATACCATTGCCATTTGCTGAGAATGCTCTAAACTATCCCTGACAGGCTACCATCAAGTTCCCATTTTAAAACCTCCTCTTTCAACAGAGAATAGGTCTGTCTTCTCTTGCATGCAATAGTCTTTTAGATATTTGTAGGCCACTATAATATCCCTTGGCCCCCATTCTTCTCTTTCACAAGCTTAAACATGCCCAGCACTTTTAATCATTCCACACAGATTTCATTTCCAAACGCCTTATCATCCTGGTAGCTAGTAAATTACTATCCTCTGAGGACAATAATCTCTTCACACTGGGATTTCTTCATGTGATTTTTTCTTATAGAGTTAATTTTGATATAGCCCTTTTCAAATAGATCATCAACTTTGCCTAATTTTAATTACCAGGCAGTATTATAATGTTTAAATTATAACCAGCTTGTTTCTCAGTTACATATTTTATACATCCCATCCTAAATGATTAATAATAATTTACCTTTGTCCTGATGCAGTTGCTATAGGTGATGGTCCATTTGGGGCACGGGGTTCTTCACATGTACTCATTTCCATTATTACTTTATCCAATGACTAAGAAATACCGGAAAGAATTTAATGATTGAAATGTTTTGCTTTTTAGAATCAATTTACCTAATCTATTTATGTATAATGGCTGGCTTAAGTTTGTACCATAGCACTCTCTAAATAATACTGGTTGTCAAGAAAATGTAATACCTAATAAACTTTTCAGAAAGAGACCTAATTACAGCAATTGTTCAACTTGGTTATATTGAATGCACAAATTTTATACAATAATACGCCTATCTATAATATTAATTTGCTAGGTTTTTAATAATTATATGCAAAATAACTTCAGTTAAATTAAAGCTGTTAATGAAATGCTCAATAATCACAGTTGAAACATGTTTCAAACTGCATCCCATGAATGCCAGCTGTGCAACCAATGTTAAACATGTAGTATGCAAAAAAAACCAAACCATGCAATCTTAAGATGGTTCTCTGGGTCCTGTTATATTATCACTTGTAATAATTTATTTCTGATAGCAATACAAGTTACAAAGTTGGGCTTCTGAAAATACATAGGAATGGTAATGTCCATGAAATTAAATAGTGTTGTATTGCTAATCTTAAATAAAGCCTAATTCAGCAGATAGTCATTGTGATCTTTAGTCATAACATACATTTTGAGGCTATTAAGTACAGTAAAGCTCTTCATCAATCTGGCAGCTATACTGCTGTAAGTTTGCATCAAGCTACTCTAATATTTAAGAAAGAATAATGCAATAGCCAATACATAGCAATTTATCAGACTACAATTTAAAAGGAAAAAAACCCAAGCATTTAGGCTCAACTTCATGACTCAAAGCAATTACCTGAAGATCTGAAATATTATCAATACCAAATGTGAATCAGAAGCCAAGTGAAAAGGAGAAATTTGCAAATGCAAGGATATGCATTACTTAATGATTTCTGAAACAGTTCTTAGTGGCAAAACAGCAAAACATCTATCATCAAGATGAAATTTCTTTATAAATTTATATGACACGCAATCCAAGATACAACTTTGATACATGTAATGCTTGCTTAATTACCCTAATTGGGACCGGAATTTCCATCACTAAGCAAGGTGGTTGTTAGGTGAAACATCACATGACTGCACCACTGCGATGGCGCTTCCGGTAGTCCAGGTTCCAGTTGTTAAGCCAGGACTGTACCATCTTTAGCCAAGGACCTCACACTTCTCTTGCCCTTCCGTGCTCACCTTTTTAAATTAATTTGTTGCTTATTCATTTATTTGTTAGATTTATATTCCACCTTCAATTCGGGAGCTCAAAGCAGCATACCTACTACTCTCTCCTCCTATTTTTCCCTACAACAACAACCGTACTTATCATGTGGATCTCTGTTTCCATTCCCCACAGGAATGCAGTCCTACTGAGGTGAGACTTTTAAGATCTATCATATAAGTTCATATCCTGCATTTATCGTGGAAGTGGGATCTTTGGAATGGAATGCAAAGAAGATAGTGATTTTTCCAGATTTGTCTTCACCGAAAGTTCAGAAATGCAAACTATTTAATAAAGCCCATTTAGCAGCAGAAAAGGAGGGTTATACATGTTTTTCTTTTTCAAGCAAATATTCTATTTATCCCTGGGTTACGGAGAGAAGATTTTTGATCCAGAAGTAGATCTCATTCTGAGATTAGCTAAAGTGAAGTGGCAGTCTTTATTTTTTCATATTTTTTAGAGTACGGTAGACTATCTTGACTGGAAAACAACAGAGAGCTCCTGTACTGTATTTCTGGTATGCCTTTTTTGGAAATCTCTGTAGGATTAGTTTTGTTTTGGAAGTGGGAGGGTTGTATTTTTTTGAGTGCTCTTTTCAAAGTAAATCTTTTTCTCACTTTAATGGCAATGTTTCATTTTTTTTCTTTTTAATTCTTTAAAATTTTGTCTCAAGTGAAGTGAATGATCTTTTCTCTTCTTTCAATATAATAATTATTTTTTATAAACAGGCAATCTGCAAACTAAATGTTTTTTTAGGATACTTTTAAGGCATATATTCATGGTCATATTTTTGCATATATTTCATAGAAAAACAAGAAACATTTCGAACATAACCCACATTGTAATTATATAAAGTTTTATATTTGCTAAATTGGAATTTAATTCTCTTCATGTACTTGGGATAGAATCTTAGAAAGAAAAGGTATTGGGAGTTTGGGGAAAGAAATAATAAATTCTCAGCTTGTAAACTGAGAGAGCAACAATGAAATGGTATCATTTTTATTGTTCAGTACACTGAACAACAGCAAAGTATATAATGACTCTGTTTTAATAAATCAGCATTTAAAAAGGTTTTATACTTAGCTCTGTAATACTGAGCCAAAGATTACTGAGGAAGAAATCAATAATATAGCTGTTCGGAAGATTACACATGAACAAGTTTAGTCTATTTAGTAGTATAAGGCATACTGATTTTTTTGCTTCTATATCATTGGAGTCTAGAAGTCATAAATTACGTTCCTAACTTTGTACGTTACTGAATGAAAAATTAAATTTTAGTTAGAGGTTAGTGAAAATAAAGTTGTTAATTTTTTTTCCCATACAGGTTTCAGACCCCTAAAATTCAGGTTAAAAACCCCTGGTCTAATATATCTATGAAAAACTGTAAAATGTTGGGCTTTAACTTGTATTTGAATTAAATATCTTGGATTACTTATTCCAAAAAAAAAAATCTATTTGTATATATAAATATTTCAAATTGTTTATCTCATAATCATATTGATGCAAAGAGAAGATAAAAATCCAAATGAGTTTCATGGAAAAGTCTTTATAAAATTGAATATTCTGGATTTATATTTATACTTAGAAGAATTCCCAGGTTAATCTCTTTAAAATAATAATGTTATTAATATTTAAATATGTACTGGTGTAGATAAGAAAGTTTTTAGAGGAAGGACAAATACCTTGATTTTTAAAATCAAAATTACAATTGTTACACGATGGGGGAGTTAATTTTCATGATGTTTAGTTTTATTACTGGCTGTATAATTTCACTTCTATGGAGACTATAGATAGTCCTCGACTTAACGACCATTCATTCAAAGACCGAATGGTGGTTATGGTCCTTGGAGTTCCAGCTATCCAGCACCCCCACAGTCACAGTCTAGGTGTTTGGCAACCAGCTCATACTTATGACCAGTTGCAGCGCTCTGCAATCACACAATCGCCATTTGCAACCTTCCCTGCCAGCTTCCCACAAGCAAAGTCAATAGGGAAGCTGGCAGGGAAGGTTGCAGATTGCTGGAGTTAGTCTCCCCCACCCACACATCCTCCCCTGCCCTTCTGAACTCATGACACGCTGGCCACTTGTGCATCCCTGCACACCTGCCCAACCCTTGCCATGCCCCCTCACACCCGCACACAATTTCACACATCCTCCCCAAGTCTCTCTGCACCTCACTTGCACCCTCGCACACCCTCCCTGAGCCTTGCCGCACCTCCCTTGCATCCTCATGCACCCCCCGAAACCCCTCACACCCTCCCAAGCCTTGCCGTGCCACGCCCTTGTTCACCCCCTTGAGCCCTCCCCCACCCAATAGCAGCTATCTACTTGCCTGCTGGCAAGCCACCTCAGACTTGCAACTTCCTGCCAGCTTCCCCACTGACTTGGTTGTGGAAAGCAAGCAGGAAGTTGCCTCACCTAACCAACGTGGGATTTGGTTAATGACAGCAACTGGGACTGCAGGGATTGCTGTCGCTAAGTGATGCTGTTGCACTTTACTACATCACTTAGTGACGGAAATTCCAGTCCTAATTGAGGTTGTAAGTCGAGGACTACCTGTACTGCTTCTATTTAGATCATTAGTTACTATTTTGACCACCATTCCCTTTCCTAGTGTATCTGTACAGGTAGTCCTCAACTTACGATGGCAATTGGGTTGGGAAAGGTAAGGCAAGCGTTGGGGAGGGTGTGTGAGAGTGCATGGGGATGCGTTAGAGTGCGAGGGAGGCAAGGGTTGGGGAGGGTGTGAGAGAGGTGTGGTGAGGCTTGGGGAGGGTGTGCTGAGGTGTGTGAGTGCCCAGTGTGATGCGAATGCAGAGAGGCTGGGGGAGGGTGTGCGGGTGGGGGAGACTTGTAACCTTTCCTGCCAGCTTCCCCACTGGCATTCCGGGGAAGCTGGCAGAGAAGGTCACAAATGGTGATCACAGGATTGTGGGGCACTGCAACTTGTTGTAAGTGCGAACTGATTGCCAAGCACCCAGATCACAATCACATGACCGTGGGGGTGCTAGGACAGCTGGAACTCCAAGAACCGGTTCGTAACCACCATTTGTTCAGCACCATCATAACTTAGAACAGTCACTGAATGAATGGTTGTAGATCAAGGAATACCTGTAACGCAAAACATTCTTTCAATTATTTTTGTGACTTGCAGAAAATGACAAGCCCTATACATTTTATTTTAAAAACTGTGGGGAAGTGGCTGAATTCAAAACTCACCAAACAGATTGGATGCGTTTTCAATTTTGTCCATGGTATCTGCAATGGAAAACAAATATAAAAAAAATATATTTTTATGCAGTAAGGAACTTTCTCTCCAGAAAAGAGAGAAATGAGGCAAGAGAAACATTTAATTTTGCCTACATCAATAAAAACAAAATCAAATTATCTCTATTATTTTCCAGGACAAAATCCAAATCATCTAAAATCAAATCAGGAAGGTACTTTTGAAGAAAAGAAAGAAGGGCACAAATATGATCTGGCCATAAAGCACTGTATACACACAAAATGGAAATGAAGGATGGAAGAGAAATCCTCTTCATCTCATTTCTTGGGCTCCATACTGCTGTTATTCACACTATTCGTGGATCTGTGATGGGAAATAGATTCAAGAATCCATCAGAAGAGACAGCCCTTTCTCCAAAAAGTTGAAACAGCCGTAACCTCACCTCTATTTGATTGTGCATTCACTTTCTTTTAGTGACAAAGACATATGCCCCAATCCACAGATTACAAAAAATTATAGCATAGTTCATTTTCCAGTCCCTAAACACCCACCTTCTACAAATGTATGGTGTCTATGATGGATATATTGAATGCCAGAGAAAGAAAATGACAGATAAAAAGCTACCAGAAAAACAAAGAATGAGAAGAAGAAAAAAAAGAATGAGATAAAAATAAAAAGAAAGCAGTTTGTTTCTTTTGAAAAAATCCTGGGCTTTACCTCAAAATTTAAGGCTTCAGAAACAAGTCACCAGAGAGGGGGAAAATGGTTAACTAAAAGCTTATTTTCACTAGACTATATATATCATGTTATTACTAAAAAAAGTAGAACAAAATGTTTCATAGTTGCAGTTTCCTTTATTATACCCATGGAAATTAAAAAGGATTTAAAACCACTTAAAGTACTTGATTTAAATTATTTTAAGAGCAACATGAATAAAAATTGTACAAATTCCTTAACTGGAATAGTAATTTACTCACCCTAATAGATGCCTTATTACAAAATACTTTGTTGATGGCAAGCCAGGTGGGAAGGTCTAGCATATTCTGAAGTACTTCTTCATCAAGCTCTATATTGGTTAGCTGACCTTCACCTTTCAATGTGCTCAGGTTGATTTTATCAGGTGACAGATTCTTGGTGAACCTAAAAATGAATATACATAGACACTAAAGTCATTTCCCCAAATGAATTATGCAACTTAAAATCCATGTAAATAAAAATAAATAAATAAATAAAT